ATCCCCCTCCCACCCCAGCCATCCGCAAGCTGGACGACTCAGACTTCAAGAACCCCTTTGACTCCACCAGGATTCGCGTCAAGAAGGACTCGGGCGACGGCGACCGCGGCGGTGAGAAACCCCGACGCACTGCGGCGCCGCTGCGGCGCGGCCCGGCCCAGCCCGGCCACGAGGCGGACCGTGTGGCTCCCGTTGGTCACCAGGCCCGCCGCACGCCTCGCTCCTGCCCTGCCCGCTCGTGCATCCACTCAGTGCCCTCCCCACCACCGCTTTCTTTCCACCCCACGCCCCAGGCGACGACCGCCGGGACCGCCGCAGCCGCAGCCGGTCCAAGTCGCGCAGCCGGAGCCGCTCCCGCTCCCGCAGCAGGAGCCGCTCCCGCAGCCGGAGCAGGAGCAGGAGCAAGAGCCGCTCGCGCAGCCGCAGCGCGGGCGCCAGCCCCCGCAGGCGCGCGTCCAAGTCCCGCAGCAGGAGCCGGTCGCGCAGCAGGAGCCGCAGCGCCGGCTCGCCGCCGCCGCGCTCCCCCAGCGCCGACAGGCAGTGAGGCGCCGCGGCCCGGCGCGGCGGGCGGGCGGGCGCTTACAGAGGGCGGGGGTTGCTCCGCGGCCTGGGGGTTGGGCGTGTGGCCTTCAGCGCTGGCGCGTGATGATGGCGTGCTGAGTCGGCTGGCTCGGATGGGGGGGTTCCTTGGACGGGGGGTCGGGTGTCTGCGTGTGTTTTCGTGCGCTGCATGCTGCAGGCGTGCGGGTCGTGACACGGGGGTGACTGCTGTCGGATGTTGTGGCTCAACGTTCGGCCTGTTTGCCTGTTTGCTGCTTCTTGTAACTGGTTGCATGCCCGTTGATGACCAGGGCGGCAATAGGCTGGAATGTTTGGGGTCTTGAACAACGCAACCGCACCAGTACAAAAGCGAGTGACAAAGCCAGTTTGCATTCGCGCTTGGTCAGCGCCAGTGCTGGCCAGGAGGGACATGGGCCGGGCGGCTGCTGATTTTAGAAAGGGGCCAGGGCTCAGCCACGACAGACTGAGGGCGGGCGGGCGGGAATCAACAAATGGCGGGCACGGCACAGCCACGTCAGCGAAAGGGGGTGGTCCGTGTTAAGCAATGCGCTCTCTCACCGTGGGCCTGGGTCTCGACCACACAGCCACATGCCTGCTCTCTCGCCAACGCAAGAAGCGCCCCACCCTGTAGCCCTGGGGCACCCCCTTCCGCCGGCCCGCCCCCGGCGCGCCCCGCCGCGCGAGCAAGCCCGCAGCCTCGGCCCCCGCCCCTGTGCGGCCGAGGGGGCGGCTAGCCCTGCGGCAGCGACTCCAGCGCGCGCCTCACGCGCCGCGCGACCTCCCCCAGCCCCGGCCTGTGCACCGCGTCCAGCACCAGGGTGGAGTCCACCAGCTCAAGCAGGACACCTGCCAGGCCGTCGGGCTGCTGCTGCTGCTGCTGCTGCTGCTGCTGCTGCTGCTGCTGCTGCTGCTGCTGAGGGGGCGCCGCGCAGGCCGCCGCGGCCGCCTTCCTCTGCCGCCGCGGCAGCCAGCCGCCGCTGGCGGGGGCCGCCGCGGCGCTTGCCGGCGG